ATGGCTAAGCAAAAAAACAATTCTGTTGAAATCCGCGGGCGCCACGTGGTCCAAAACAATCAGACGCCAGTCGAGGCAGGCGGCGGGGTGCACCAGTCGCGAATTTAGGCACGAAAGCGGCGGAGAACAGAGCGCATGGCAAGGAGGAAGGAGCCCGCTCAGACCATGAAAGCCAGCGCGGAGACGCCGTGGAAGAACTTGCAGCTACGTCCGAGCATAAACAAAAGAAGCAAGAGCGGCCTAAGAGACCCCACTGACGGCATCAGGCTGAGCCGAAATTTGTTTAACTGCATGCGCCTGGCAACTCGCATTGGCATCGGTCCTGGATGGGCTGGTGGGGATACTTTTTTCGTCGCGGCCGCAGGCGAGCGCGCCAGCAGCGTCAAGAACTCCATGTGGGACCACGAACCGTGTGAAGGGTGTGCCGAAATGGGTGGCGCGGGCGCATGGGAACGTCGCCACTGGGGCCTCACGTAGAACTCCCTATGGGGCCACGAACCGTGTGAGTGGTGCGCCGAAATGGATCGCGCGGACGCATGGGAACGTCGCCACTGGGGCCGTAGGTGGGGCTCCCCTATGGGGCCACGAACCGTGTGAGGGATGTGCCGAATTGGGTGGCGCGAACGCATCTGAACGTCGCCACTGGGGCCTTAGATGGAGCTCACTATGGGGCCACGAACCGTGTGAAGGGTGTGCCGAAATAAGTGGCGCGGACGCATGGGAACGTCGCCACTGAAGCCTTAAGTGAAGCTCCCTATGAGGCCAAGAACCGCGAGAGCGGTGTGCCGATGAGTGTCGATGATGGTGAAGATGGCGGCGATGACGATGACGATGATGGTGATGATGACGATGATGGTGATGATGACGATGATGATGGTCATGATGGTGGTGATAATGATAATGAGCATGATAATGATACTGGTGATGATGATGACAATGATAATGAGAATGCGAATGAGAATGAGAATATTTTTTTTTGGTAGCATCTCCCTTGATCAGGTCGATTGGACAGTGCACAAAACACTACTTGAAAATGAACGTATAATGTGACGGAAATGATTCCTCAAGACTGTGACTCAGTAAAACCTTGTGCGTAAACGCCTTCTCACACCATGCATTTGGATAGTCGTGCACTTCTGGCCGACTTGCGTTGCCAGCTGCAGAGCAATATCAGCAGCAACAAGTTCCGAATGAAAAGATGAATGCGCATTCTCGATGAAAACTCCTTTGTGTCCCTTCACTTCAGGCACCCACTCATCACCATTGTATGTGTAAACTACAACCACAGCGGCAGCGGCCCCACTTTCACCAGTATAACCCCCATCTGAGAAAAACTGGATAGCTGACCCATTACAGGCAACAGCGGCAACAGCGTCCAAATCCACATCTATGATGTCCGCTTTTTGATCCAATACCCAATTGCACACCCGATCTGCCAAAGCATTGTATTCACGCGGGCGCCAATCAAAACAAGCAAGAAACCCACCCTTGTAGTCAAAGAACCGAGAATATATGTTGAACAAGTTTTCCCTCATTCTGCCAATGTCCTGTTCGTAGTGCGGGTTCGCGATGCGGATCTCCACGTTCACAAGCTGAGCGAGAGTCTGATTGTCCACCACGAATTCGACTTGCGGCTTCGCCGGCCGGTGTGACCAGAGTTGGTCCCGCTTCATACACTTGGTCAGGGGCAGCGTCTGGTAGTCCATGTCGGTGCGGTCGGCCCGAGGCGCGGCTGCACGCGTGCAGGCAGAAACATATCCAGGGTGAGGTTGGGGAAGGTTGAGTTTGTCACAAGCAAGGCGCACAAAATCTTTCATGTGAGAGTACCACTCTGATTCGTCGCGGCAAGAATCAAGACGTGCACGCCAATGAACATCCCACACACGCGCAAACAAAGTCGAAAACTGCAACTGTGGGCCGCTCTTGCTATGCAGGAGCTGCTCTCTTTTCCGTTTGTTCGATGGGATGTCTTTCACACTTTCCCATATGTCTAAATCACGGTCCCGGCGAATGGAAGAGAGCTGCTTGGCAACTGTACGCTCATGCCAGACGTGCCGAAACAACCTTTCCATGATCGCTATGAGAATGAGAATGAGGATGATAATGATAATGATAATGATAATGATAGTGCTAATGACATTGATAATGATAATGAAAATGATAATGATAATGATAATGATACTGATAAATATAATGATAATGCTAATGATCGAGATCATGATAATGATAATGCTAATGACAATGCCAATGATCATGAGAATGCTAGTGATAGTGATAATGGCAATGCTAATGGTCATGATGATGATACTAGTGATGATAGCGATAATGATAATGAAAATGATAATGACAATGATAACGATAATGGTAATGATAATGATAATGATACTGACGATGGTAATGATAATGGCAATGGTAATGATGATAATGATAGTGATAGTGATAACGATAATGACAATGCGAATGAAAATGATGATGACAAGATAGTGGTAACGATAATGATAATAAAAATGATAATGGCAATGATAATGACAATGATTATGATGATAACGATGATGATAATGATAATGATAATGAGAATGATAATGAGAATGATAATGATGATGATACTGATAATGATAATGATCCTGATAATGGTAATGATAATTATAATAATAGTGATAGTGATAGTGATATTGATAATGAAATCGGTACTGGTACTGAAAACGATAATGATAATTATAATGATACTGATAATGATAATGAAAATGAAAACGATAATGATAGTGATAGTGATAATGATAGTGATAGTGATAATGTTAATGATAAAGAGAATGATAATGATAATTCTAGTGATAGTGCTAATGATAATGATAGTGATAAATATAATGATACTGATAATGATAATTATAATGAGAATGAGGATGATGATGATGATGCTGATGCTGATGCTGATGCTGATGATGATGATGATGATGATGATGATGATGATGATGATGATGATGATGGGAGGGAGGAGGGAGGAGGTGGGCGGGACGCGGGGCGCTGTCTCTTCGAAACGAGGACCCAATACCACAGGATGGTTGGGGAAAAAAGTCAGAGAGCCCCCCCAGGGAAATCTAAGAGCAGTGCAACGTTCCAGCCGCGACACACTGCGGCGCCGCAGCGCTGCCCACCAGACAGCCCCAAGGATGGTCCTGCCAAGCGTTGCGCGAGAGATCTCGGCCGAGCCGTCGTGCCTGAAGTCGATGGTGCGCTGGCACGGTGACGGGGATTGCCGCAAGCAGCCGATGTCATACGCCGGCCGAAAGAAGGATTGCCTTGACCCCCTCCAATACGTCTGCAACAATACGTGCCGACAGAAGGAAGCAGTTGGAGCATTACGACCGCTGTCGATACAGCTGGCGCTACTACTTAATCCACTAAACCCCGCACACCGAACTGCTGGTGTGAAAGATCGATCCGAAAACGACATCGCATCTGACATTCGGAGCGTTTCGCGTGGCCTGTCTGTCATGAACTGTAACTGAAATACAAAGGACGCCTCAAGAGGGGTCAAGCCCAGCCAGAGACGGCCACAAGACAGCCCGAGACGGCTCCAAGAAGGCCCCAAAACCCCCTAGACGTGCCCAAGACTGCAGCACACAGTCAATCCGCATAGTAATAATGGGCAACCTCCCCAAGGGTACCCTTGCATCCTTCCCTTCTCGGTCCATCCTTGGCCACTTTCGTTGGCCGCGCTCCGCTCGGAAAGCTTCGAAATGGGCGTCCAAGGCCCTTGCGTCCCCATCGCGCTTCCTCATGACACGGGCCGACTGCATGTCCCCAAGAGGCCAGGCAAGGCACCCAACAAAGGGCTGCCGAGGACACCCAGGGAGACCCCGAGAGCGCTTTCCCGCGCGGCATCTCTCGCGGGGGGGGGGGCGCTCTCGGGGACCTTTATTGGGAGGCCCACACGGGTTTCGAACATCCGTCCTCCGCTTCCGCTTCCTCCTCCTCCTCCCCCTCCTCCTCCTCCTCCTCCTCCTCTTCCTCCTCCTCCCCCTCATCCTCCCCCTCCTCCTCCTCCTCCTCCCCCTCTCTCGCGAGGGCACCCAGGGCGGGGTGGAGCCCGGCGGAGGGTGCGCGGGAAGCTCGAAGGCGCGCCAGGAGCCGAGAGGCCGCGGGCGGAGGCGCGGCACGCGGAGAGAGAGAGGAAGAGGGGGAGAAGAAGCCAGAGCGGGAACGGGGGCGCAGAGTGGGCGGGGACTTCGTGGGCCCCGGAAACGGCAGGGCCGTTTTTTCACCGTCTCCAAAAAAATGTCCCTTAGAAATGGAAGCGGCAAAAAAACGGCGACCAAAAACGGCAAAAAAAACGGCTCCAGGATTGGAACCGGAGCCGGAACCGGTCAAAAAACGACGACGGAACCGGTAAAAAACGGCGTCGGAGCCGGCAAAAAAACGGCAAAACGGAACCGATAAAAAAACGGCCCTGTCGTTTCCAGGGCCCACTAAGGGCGGGGACTTCTCGAATAGTAGCATTGACGCTACCTGCCGCTGAGATGAGAGGAGCACGATGAGCTGATGGCACGAGACTGTTTTGGGGTGTAAGAAAGTGCGGACCTGTTCCAAACACCGCGTCGTACCTCCACCTCCGTTCGTCCCCCCGGTCCTGCCCTCCAGCTGTTCGCGCGCCTGGACATCGCCGCGCAGCGCTCGCAAGCCTGCTGACACAAACTTAACGCTTTCTTGTAGATTCCAGCCGGCCCTCCTCGCACTGGCCTTGCGAGGCTCGCTGCCTGAACCTTACACAGGCTTGATCCTGAAGTGGAGGCCGATCAGGCTGAACACAAAACACTTAAGATCCTGAACCAAGTAGTAGAATACCCTCAAACCCTCCGGGTCCTTGGATGCCTGCACGTCAGCCAAGGACCCGATTTTCGATGTTGTAAAAGAGATGTGCTCCTTTCCGCACACCACCTCCAGCTCCTGCCTGCCAACCCTGTCTGGTGCAGGCCAGTGATTGTCATCCTCCTTCAATATCTCGCTGTCCTCGATCGTCTTCCGAAGCTCCCTCATGACAGCTTGCGTGACGTAGCACTCTTTCCGGATCATCCTCTCGTTCTTGTAGTTCGAGTCGTTCGCGTAGCGCAGCCGGCCGTCGGGCCGAAACTCGAACTCCAAAAACTCATGGCCGAACTTGCCCTTGTGGCCCACGTAGTAGCGCACGTAGAACTCGTCGCCCTCCGCCATGCTCGCCGCCGCAGGTGCGCCTCCGCCGCCGCTGGCGGGGGCGCGCGCGTCGGAGGCCCCTGGTGGCACGCGCGGGCAAGAGCGGCCACAGCGGCTGGAGCCGGAAGAGCCGAGACACGGGCCGACTGCACGTCCCCAAGAGGCCAGGCAAGGTATCCAACAAAGGGCTGCCGAGGGCACCCAGGGAGACCCCGAGAGCGCTTCCCCGCGCGGCATCTCTCGCGAGCCCCAGGTTGCGAGGACACCCAGGGCGGGATAGAGCCAGGCGGAGGAGGAGGAGGAGGAGGAGGAGGAGGAGGAGGAGGATGGAGATGAGGAGGAGGAGGAGGAGGAGGAGGAGGAGGAGGAGGGTGCGCGGGAAGCTCGAGGTCGCGCCCGGAGTCGAGGCCGCGGGCGGAGGCGTGGCACGCGAAGAGAAAGAGGAGGAAGAGGAGAAAAGCCAGAGCGGGAACGGGGGCGCAGAGTAGACGGGGACTTCTCGAATATTGGAAGCTTGGAAATTGGCACCAACACCAACATCATGGGTTGCCTCCACGGGAGGAAGATGATCCTGGATGTTGGTGTTGGTGGTAATCTTTCGGCCACCTAAAAAGCCCGAATATTACCACCATCACCTGGATCGGGATCTTCTTCCCTCGGTGGAGGCACACCGCCGGGGGGGAAGAGCCAGAGCGGGAACGGGAGCGCAGAGTGGGCGGGGACCTTGTGGGCCCCGGAAACGGCAGGGCCGTTTTTTCACCGCTTCCAAAAAAATGTCCCTTACCAATGGAAACGGCAAAAAAACGGCGACCAGAAACAGCAAAAAAACGGCTCCAGGATTGGAACCGGAGCCGGAACCGGTCAAAAAACGGCGACGGAACCGGTAAAAAAACGGCGTCGGAACCGGCAAAAAAGCGGCAAAACGGAACCGGTAAAAAAACGGCCCTGTCGTTTCCAGGGCCCACTAAGGGCAGGGACTTCTCGAATAGCAGCATTGACGCTACCTGCCGCTGAGATGAGAGGAGCACGATGAGCTGATGGCACGAGACTGTTTTGGGGTGTAAGAAAGTGCGGACCAGTTCCAAACACCGCGTCGTACCTCCACCTCCGTTCGTCCCCCCGGTCCTGCCCTCCAGCTGTTCGCGCGCCTGGACATCGCCGCGCAGCGCTCGCAAGCCTGCTGACACAAACTTAACGCTTTCTTGTAGATTCCAGCCGGCCCTCCTCGCACTGGCCTTGCGAGGCTCGCTGCCTGAACCTTACACAGGCTTGATCCTGAAGTGGAGGCCGATCAGGCTGAACACAAAACACTTAAGATCCTGAACCAAGTAGTAGAATACCCTCAAACCCTCCGGGTCCTTGGATGCCTGCACGTCAGCCAAGGACCCGATTTTCGATGTTGTAAAAGAGATGTGCTCCTTTCCGCACACCACCTCCAGCTCCTGCCTGCCAACCCTGTCTGGTGCAGGCCAGTGATTGTCATCCTCCTTCAATATCTCGCTGTCCTCGATCGTCTTCCGAAGCTCCCTCATGACAGCTTGCGTGACGTAGCACTCTTTCCGGATCATCCTCTCGTTCTTGTAGTTCGAGTCGTTCGCGTAGCGCAGCCGGCCGTCGGGCCGAAACTCGAACTCCAAGAACTCATGGCCGAACTTGCCCTTGTGGCCCACGTAGTAGCGCACGTAGAACTCGTCGCCCTCCGCCATGCTCGCCGCCGCAGGTGCGCCTCCGCCGCCGCTGGCGGGGGCGCGCGCGTCGGAGGCCCCTGGTGGCACGCGCGGGCAAGAGCGGCCACAGCGGCTGGAGCCGGAAGAGCCGAGACACGCGTGCCTCACCCCTGCCTCGAGAGGAGAGGAACTGAAGGAAAAAATGTGCGGAAGATGGAGGGAGAGGCGGATCAACGGCACGATCACGAGGAACAGCAGGAGGGATCGAGAGCAGCAGCAGCAGCAGCAGCAGCAGCAGCAGCAGATGCGGAAGCAGGAGCAGGAGTAGAGCCAGCAGAAGTAGTGAAAGTGGAAGGACTGGGCCAGACGGGGTGGTGCAGCGCCAGGGCCAAGCGAAGCAGAATCGTCGGGAGGAGCCGAAGGAGCGAGGCAAGGTCGGAGGAGCATCAGTACAGGGGCGACGGCGGAGCGGGAGATTGAGCTTGCAGATGCGCCGAGGGATTGCTCGAGGACGGGATGAGGGGAGGGAGGCGAGGGACGCAGCACTCGGATGCGAGCGGGAAGGGCCAAAAGAGGTGGTGGCGGGGGCGGCCCCGTGCTGAGGCGAGGGCTCACGAGGCAGCGCTGCCCACACCGAGCCCACAGTGTCGCGTTTGGAGTCGAACTCAAAACACACCGACGCTTTCTCCAGCCCCGCACTGGAATTCACACAGGACAGCGGGGATCCTGGCGTACACGGGATCCTGGTGCATGCACGCTTCGTCGTTTCCCCGGGAGCACGGAGAAAAAGTGCACACCACACCACCCCGACGTCGTCCCCGACCCTCAAGAACGTCCTGGGATTGAGCAGCAGCCCGCCACTGTTGGAGGCCTGGAAATGGGCACCAACACCAAAACAGGGGGTTGCCTCCACAGGGGGAAGATGATCCTGGATTTCGGTGTTGGTGGTACTATTTCGGCCACCTTGGAAGCCAGAACATTACCACCATCACCGAGATTGGGATCTTCTTCCCTCGGTGGAGGCACACCGCCGATCTTGGTGTTGGTGGCAAAAATACCCCCAAAAGGTCAAAAAATACTAGAAAAATAGTCCCCAGACTATGTTTGGACCATTGTTGGACTATTTTGGGGGTATTTCTTATTTTTCGTCGAAAAACCCCCCGTAAAGGGGGACAGGCCCGACACAACACTGGTGATGTATAGATGCTCCCGTTTCCGAGAGTGGCCCGTGAGGCATCCTCGGGGCTGGCCGGGCGCGTCGAGCCACGGGCTCACCGGGGCGACCTCTGGCGCGAGCCGCCAGAGGTGTCCCGCGAGCCGCGGGCCCGCCGACTGCCGCTGGCGAAGGGGGGCCCCAGGACACACAGAGAAAGACACACAAGTAAAAAGACTGCCCCTATGTTCCCACATTTTCTGGGCTTCTGTCTTCCCCCCCACTCTCCACAGTTTCCCATATCTCCTGGGGAGTCGACGACTCATTGCGTCTGTGTGCTTCTTTCCCTCCTGAGCTGGGTACGGGCCCGAGACTCACTCAACGCGGAGGGCTCCTGAGAAGCGGGAGCGGGGGGCCATCCAGCATTCGCTGTGCAGGGAATCCAACCAGCCCCTGAGGGCACAGGTGGTTCAGGGCGTTTCCTCTCCCGACCCCCCTCCTTCCCCTCCGGGAAGGGGCACGTCACTGCTCCTTATCAATATACACCCTCCCCCACCGGACCGGCGACAAAGCCAGGACCATGACAACACCCGCCCCACCATCCCTTGTAAAAAACAATACAGAGTGCAACGCTAGAATCTGGATCATGCGCGGACGCTCCTCGATCACTTTGCATTGGTTTTTGACAGGGACGGCGGGGTGCCGATATATTCCCTGCTGTGCGCGATACCAAAACACCCCACCATCCCTAGCAAAAACCATACACAGCGCACTTTGCACCAAAATCTGAATTATGCGTGGACGCCCCGCGCTCACATTGCATTGGTTTTCGACGAGGACGGCGGGGGAGCTAGCACATTGCCTGCTGTGTGCAGGCCCGATATCCATTTCAACAAAAATTCTAAATTCATGTTGCCAGGGACAGCGGGGAAAGGGGCGGCAGGTTGTGGCAAACTGTCGAAAAGCAAACGCAAAGTGATCGTGGGTGCACACCCACACACAATACACAACGCTCGCAAACCCGCCGTCACTTCGCAATGATTTTTGACAGGGACGGTGGGAGAGTCGACATATTGCCCAATGTGGCGCACCTGGTGCGCGCGGCGCAGCTGGCATGTGCGACGCACCTCGCGGGCTTGGCGCACCTGGCTAACGTCTGCATTAGTTCTCGATGGCTGTCGATGGCGGCCCCTGTCCATGCTGAAACTCAGGTGCTACTTAGGCGTTGGGAGGACGGATGGAAGTGAGCGAGTCGGCCTGTAACTTTTGGGTAGCTTGGACACTGCTCCCTATTGGTAAACACCCCCTCACCCACAAGACCGGCAACCAACCAGGACCCATGAGCCCATCCCCCCTCACAATCCCTGTCACAGAAAAAAAACTAAATACACGTTGCCTGCAAATCTGAAGTATGCGCGGGCGCCCCGCCACCAATTTGCTTTGGTTTTGGGCAGGCACGGCCAGGGTGCCAGCATATTACCTGTTTTGTACCATGCCAGCATCCCCCCCACCATGCCCTTCACAAAACATTGCAAATTGCACGTTGTGGCAAAGTCTTGGGTCATGCTCGGGAGCCCCGCGAGCACTGCGCACTCTTTTTTGACAGGGACGGCGGGGGTGCCTGCATGTGGCCTGCTGTGCGCAAGGCCACCGTCCCTGTCAAAAAAATGCAAACTGCACTTCGCGGCTAAAATGTGGATCATGCGCGGGCACCCCGCGATCACGTGCACCTGGGGTCTGCATTGGTTTCCAATGACCGTCCATCCAGAGACGACCGCTGAATATGCTGAGACTCGGGCACTACGTATGTGTTGAGAGGGCGGGTGGGAGTGAGCCAAACAGTCTGCGCCTGAGAGATGTCTGCACCGCTCCCCCTGCCCCTTCACATGGGTCTGGACGGGGGGGCAACGAGCAGTCGGAGGGCCCAAGACAGCCCAACATGGCCCCAAAAGGACCCAAGATAGCCCAAAGATGGCCTTCAATACGGCTCAAAACAGCGATCGTTCAAGATGGCGTCCAACATACTGCCAGAGATCCTAAGAGTGCTCCAAGACGGGTCCAAGTGGCCTTGAGGGCTCCCGAAGACGCCCCCAAGAGGCCAAGGCTCAAACAAAAGCTACGGAACATAAGTGATGTTGACTTCTCGCCCGTTCGCGTCCGATGGTCTCCCGAAGCCTCAAGATGAATACCATAAGGGCCAAGAGAGAACCAAGAGCGGCCCAAGAGGGCTCCAAGGCGGCCACACGAGCGCCCAAGAGCACCCCAAGAGCGCACCGAGAGAGCCCCAAGAGACGACTCTAGAGGCTTCCGAGGGGCAATGCTGATTAAGGCCCTGGTCTTCTTTGACCGATGTCCTCCAAGATGGTCCCAAGAAGGCCTCCCAGGCTTCCAAGAGGGCCCCAAGAAGGCCCCAAGAGGCCCCTACGAGGCCCCCAAGAAGCCACCAAGAGGCCCCTACGAGGCCCCTACGAGGCCTCCCAAACGCCCCAAGAGGCCAGCAAGAGCTCCACAGGAGCATCCCAAGCGACTCCGAGGGGCATCCAAGAGACTTCTGGTTCTCCCCGAGGAATAGGTATCCAAATGATACCACGCTCCCTCAATAAGGGCAGCTCCCCTAGGCATCGTTCCTGGATGGGCTGGTGGGGATAAGCGATGCGGTAAGGATTGTTGATCTGTAAACTAGATGACTCAGAGACAAGGCCACGGCTAGACCTGCCCATATCAAGATCAGAGGTTGAACCCTGTCTTGCAATTGCTGCCGATAGCGGTTGAAAATGTGGTGAGGGGTGCACGACGAAGGGGTTAAGACGGCTCAGGGTGACGAGCCCACCGACATTGACCTGTCGATGATATGGTATTTCGGCGCACTAATTGCCCAACATACTCAGAATCGTTGTAGTAACAGCACTGCTGAGCAAGAAGACGCCGAAATGAATACGTAGTGGCAATGCTGATGCTAGTGATTGCTCCGGCGGTGGGAAAACGATGTACACAGTCGCTTCTTGGACTTGCGTCGTGACATGCCCCGAATCCGTGGGAGCATGCTTCGGAGACCAAGCTTCCAACATGCCCAAAGATGTTCCCGTAGGGCCATCCTGGAGCGATCTTTTTTTGTGACACCATCGCATCTGGCCAAAGTCAGGAAACGGTCAGAAAGAGAAAGCGTCAGTCTCCAAAAGGGCGAGAAAATTCTGAAACGCATTCGATAATCTGAAGAATATCTAGCACATCGGCCTGACATTAGCCTGAGTCAGATTATAAGTTGCATGAACCTACGCAGCCGCTGCCTTTCTCAGCAGTGGTAGCTGCGAGAGCGCCAGATCCATGGATCGCCTCTTGCTTAAGTTTGCGAGGCGTCAGAAGAAAAAGAGGAAGAGAGAGAGAGAGGGACAAACTAGCAGGGCAATAGGCACGCAGAAGATAGATGAGGGTGACAACAAAAATGGCTGAGGAGTTTGTCCAGCAGCAGCATGTTCGAGTCTCGTCGGCTTGCTGCACTTGTGTAGCAAGCTGGCGATCGCCGAGAGGCCAGACAGCTAGAACGCTTGCTGCGCTCAACATCGCTCCGCCAATTAGCACGGGGAGGACGTGGACACTGAACCTCTGACGCCACCGTCGTACCATTTTCACGGGCCATGATCAAGCGAGCGTTGCGACCCCTATCGATGTTGCGGACGAACTCTGGATAGACACGCCAGGGGCCTCGGAATGAAGACCAATAAGATCCTCACATTCCGCCGGAGGCGTGGCTTCGTCGCTGTGGTCGTCCTCCCCGAGCAGGCCTCCCACAGGACGCCCTGCTCGCCCCAGATGTTTGGCGTAAATGTTCAAGTAGTCTGTGCCACTTTGCGTGCGTCCATGCACGACTTTCACCATTACCTTGCCGAGAGTAAGCCATTCTGGAAT